AAAGAGGACTACTACTACTACTCCTCGGGTCCCCCCCACCACACGGCCTGCCGCCGCGACGCCAGTCCGTAGTCAGTCAGCGCTGGACCGCCGCCCGCTCGATTTCGCGATCCACGAACGACGGTAGCCACCACCTCCACCTCCTCCCCGCTTCTTTTCCGTCTGCCGGATCTTTCTTTCTCTCTCTCTCTCTCTCTTTCACTCGTACACATACACTTCCTCCCTCTATCTCTCTCCACCGCGCATCTCTTTCTTTCTTCTCTTTCGTCCGCTCTTTGCTACCACGTTGTCTTGCTATCTATTGCATGCATTCTCTCTCGCTTGTTTTATCGTTATCTAACCGGTTAACTCACTCTGTTTTTCTTTCTCTATCTTTTATTTTATATCTTTCGGTATTCGTATACGTACGCGGAGCGTCGTGCGCGCGTCGCGAGTGAACGCGACGCGTCGTCGCAGATCGTAGAAAAGTTATCGCGCGATTATCGAGATCTCCCCCCTCCCCTGATCTATCCGCGAGACAGGCTCTTGGCGCGATCCCGATAACGTTCGTCGGAGACGAGCGGTATCGGCGTAAACGACGACTGATCGGGAAAGTGACGAGTGAGACTGATGATTGCTTGCAGAGAAAAGTGGTAAACCAGAGAGTTGGTGCACGATTCGGATGATCCACGTTGGAGAGGACCGATTTAGCACCGCGAAACCGAGAATAATAATTCAGTGTGATAATACTGGCGGAGGATGTAGTGACTTTAGTCTGGAAGTATCAATATTCGCTCCCGCCAATACCTGTCGAGGCATATTTACGAGAATCATCAACATCGGTCGCTCCGGAATGGCGATGCGAGCGCGGATGAGTACGCAAGAGTGAGAGAGATCTCTGGGACTTTGCGTTCCCAGTCGCACACCGAGATTTGACAAGTGCGTTGTCGCATCGCTTCGCGATTAGTTCCGCCAGTGAACCATAACACCGGATGCACCGGTGCCGCGAATAAAATGATGACGATCGCGACGATTGCGCCGACGAGCGGGTTATCGGCGATCACGATGAGGTAGTGATCGTCGGGACACGTGTCGGTTGGCTGCTCACAAGTGTGTAACGGAAAAGGCGGCAGACTATCCCAGGTGGCAATCTCCCGGAAAAGATACTTGAAGAATATTTGCACGGTGTTCACGACTGCTTGACTCTTTTTTGGGGACCAACCGATCGCAGCTCAGGCGAAAAGAACTGGAGGCTGCACGGATAATCGAGCACTTCCGAAGGACGCAGATGCCCCGAAGGAAACAGCACGCACCGCAACGCATGAAATGTGAGTCAACTGAGCGAAACGCAGAGATTTAGCCACGACGGTGGAACGTAGAGGAAGTTTGCCGATTGAATCGATAAACCAAGTACCTCAACTAAATTCTTTTAATTTTCCACTCCAAAGAGTAACAATTGCGCGACAACACATTTTTGCAAAATGACATCCGTCAATCGCCTGAATTTTCACTCGGATTCAATCATCGCATTTTTTTATGTAAAGTAGAATAATTTAAGTGGTGAAATGTAATCGAGAAGTCGGCGTTCCACCGTCGCTGATTCGTCGACCAACTCGCGAAGCCACGTGGAATACCACGTGGAATGCGGGCGTGATTTCGGGAGTAATCGCGGACAATTCCGTGCGTAGAGTTATCTGTTTATTTTCCTCCGACACAATCCATTTAAAAGAATAATTGACGCGTACAAAAATTCGATCAATGTGAGACGGCGTTGAAATTGTTACTCGATGATCCGTCATGAATCCCGGGAACCGTCACGCACCGACAAAATTCTCGACACGCATCGCCGTGATTTACTGCATTTCTGCAGCGCGTGTTTATGGATTAATTAAAACGAGGAAAATGTCTAGACGATCGTAAGGGAGCTTGCATAAAGTCGCAGAATGTCTTTTACTACCAGTTTAGCGTTCACGCGTTCTGCGCTGCCGGAGTTCCTAAGTTACGCCGCTGTCATGCACGGTGAATGTTTTATAGCGCAAAAACAAAAAGTTTTAATGCGAGGATTAAAGGAATAGAAAGTCACGGTTTTTTTCTTTGAACCGAAGCAAACTCGCGTCTTGCGATGCGTATTCAATGCGAATAATTTTGAGTGATTCGGCAGTAAATCATATATAACAGTTTATTCTTGAAATGTGAGTTTTGCGGCTAATAAAAAAAAAATACACTTCCCTAAATTTTCGGAAAAAAATATGTTAACTGTTAAGAGTGATGGAGCGTTATTTTGCTAATAGACGTCACTTATGCGGTATGTGCATTGTTTGAATAATTTTAGTATATAAGAATCGAAATATTGTGCAGAAAATACGTGAATTATCAGGTCAGATTTTTTGAGATACCTTCAAAATAGATATGTTGAAAAGTGGTATTGATGTTTCGGACAGTATTTTTATATTGCATATTTGATGAAAATGTCAATCCCAAAAACAAATAATTTTCCAAATATACATTGACATATTGTGTGTATATATATATATATATATATATATATAACAAACTATCATTACTCTGTGATATTAGATAAGCTACTTCTTACGAAATAGCACATAAGATATTGAAAATGATATATTTCTAGAGAAAAAAATTTGTAATCACATTCTAATTATTATTCTTTTATAGGATTAATAGAGATTTTAACGTATTTTAAACCAAATTATTGTTTCGTCAAAGAATGATCAGCCAAATGTATTTGTACTATTCTTCTCGAATTTTAGTTTATATCACTCAAAATTAATATGAAATTTTCATTCACTGGTTATCTGACAATCGAATATATTTTGGAATCTTCTATAGGGGAATCTTCTTGGAATCTGGGAATCTTCTATAGGCAACTATTTGATTGATTATGCTATCTGTTACAGAGTTAAAGACAAGTTACAACGAAATACGCAATGATATAGAAAAGAAGTAAAAGTTATATAAGAATTTTAACGAACATAGTTTCTCTTAGAAGGTAATTTAATATCATTAATATATAGACGATATAAAATATTTACTATTAATATTGGAGAATATTATATTAATATAAAAGTGGAAATTACTAAAGTGGCTTCAATATTCTTTTGATCTTTACATTATTTTCTGCAAAAGTTATATAATAAAGCATAAAAGTTAGAAGACGTTCGTTGTAATTTGCCTTATTAAAATATTTTATAAATTTTTTTTCGAATTTACGATGTTTTATGATTAATGCACATATATAAATAGCATTCTTATGTTCAATTTGAAATAGATAAAAAATTGCCTAACGCGCATATAATAAAAGTTGAAAATTTCCCTCATATTAACGCATTTAACGATCTTCTGTTGCCGAGGAAGCTGAAATCTATGTACCCCCATCTTCGTTGAGTAAGGTCGAAGATGGGCCGAAGGCGAGCACGCCATTGCATTGAATCTCTCGACAGATGGGCAGAGCAGCCGAGGCAGCGTCAGGCCGAGGCGATTTGTGCGTTTGAGGCCGTGACGCGCGCCATGCTGCCTTTCCCACGTGGGGAGTCATGAGGCGTAAACAAACTCGCCCCCGGTGGTGGAGGGACGCCATCTTGGTGTGTGAAGTTCTGCCGGAAACATTTACAATTCACTCAACTTACCTTACCGAAACTCGGCCAAGCGCCGATAAATCTTGTGCGCCCGCGCGGCGCACATACTCCGACGCGATGCCGGCTGCGTACATAAATTCGCGGCAGTCCGCGGAGTTTCGCTGCCGTGTGTGCTACGGTTTTTCACCAGTTTCCGGCATCTTCGGTACTCCTCCTTGAGAACGAAAGCGATATCCGATTTTGGTGACTGTCTTCCTGGAAAACAAAATGTTTCAATTAGCTACATTGTTAGCTAGAAATTAATTTTAGCGGTGAGCTTATTCGCTGAACATTATTCCGAAAACTGCTCATGATTTAAATAAAAATAATTTATATAAATTTATGTTTTGAAAAAAGTCTTTTCTGATTTAATTTAATAATAATTTAGAATTTTTTAAATGTTTTTTTTATGCTTTATATATGCACACTGTCGTTATCATGTAAGAATTATCACGTCGAAGCAGTGTATCTAATTTTTTAAATGTAAAATAGAATCGCTAAAATTATTTTGATGAAATAATGAAATGTGTATATACAAATCTATTGTATGTATCTAGAGATATTTCAAAAAAATTTGCAAATAAAATTTATAATATTCATAGATTTATGACACATAAATTGCCAATCAATTGCTGAGTGCATAATCCACAAAATTTGATATTTATTTGCGTTATATTTATAATCTGCGTATCTACTAATTATTATGACGTAAACTAATTTTTACTATTAAAATTGGATGGAATTTATTTTTGTAACGGCCTATTTATTTATTAATAATTGTAATATAATGATGTCTATGTAATATATCCAACTGTAAAAACATATTTCTACAAATCACTACATTTTTCTTGAACATTGTCAAGTTGATAGTTTATATGAACCGGAAGGTGAAAGTTTGTAAGGTTTGTAAGGGTTCGTTTGAAACGATAAAGCCATCACAGCAAAAATAGACGTGCACGGGTTAAGAAATAACAAAATATGGCCTGCAGGGATGGCAAACTACGGCGAGGCTAATTTCTCCATTTAATTTACGATGTTTTGGTGAAAGGATCTGTGAAACACGCTGTGTAGATTCTTATGAATCGATCTGCCGGCTATCGATCCTGCGATCACGCTGCACTCTCGATAGATCCAAGAATCTAATTAGCAGTATATTGTGGAGGAACAATCATTGTCCAGTTGTATTAGTCACTGAATATGTTCTGCCTCTTGCTAGCAACCGCAATATATCAAAAGGCGTGTAAAATGATAAAGTTTCTAACTGCTCCAGTTAAAGATAAAGATGAAAACAAAATGTATCATGGCAGACGCCATGATTGGTTCTCTATAATATTAAAAATTTGCAATTCAATTTCAAGATATTTCCTGATCGATAATTTTCCGATTGATAATGGCTGTTTTGATCGAGCCGTTCAAATAAAAATATCTTGCATTTTTGTAACAAAATTTAATCTATAGAAAGTTGCGCTATCACTTCTTATCGCTGTCACATTTTTATGTACGCACTATGAAATTAACTTAAAACTAGTATATACAAGCTATTATTTATTAACGGTTATCGGATTTGTATTTACATTTATAATAATCGATATAACTTTTTAACGATATTCCTCAAAACTAATGTCGGCTTGGTGTACTGTAGCACTTAAATCGACCTTCAAATACAATTTTCCGAACTACTTGCCAGGTTCCGGCGAAGGAGATATACAACATTTACTAACATTCGCATTCGATGCAACAGGTGCAGCCTCGATGCATTCTTCGGGCCTCCATGCCCGAAATTTGCATTACTAACACTTCGTCGTGTCTTTATTAGCTTATAGCGTGAAAATGCGTGATTGCACTTTTCCAATCAGCAAATGTAACACTTGCATAAAGATGATAACATTTGTTTCGATTTTATTTTTTCCTCCGTCTCTGTCGAGCGCGATGTTAAAAAGTTTCTTCATTTCCTATTTTGAGAGAAATTACTGAGATAATAAGTCTCGCAACCTCGCACGACTCTTTGGCTTCATTCATAAAGAAGGAAGCGCGCGTCCGCGCACACGCGTTGCTCTTGCGGTATTTTCGGCCGGCACGGAATTGCAAAGTCAAAGATAGTCCGCGACTATGTGACACGATGCTCTCGCGGCGGCGAGACTTATCGTGAGCAATGAAACCGGGACGACCAAATGGAGATGATTGATTCGCCGACAGACACGTCTCATTTATTCAATGCTGAAATTCTCGGACTCCAATTATATTTAGAGCGTCTCGTCGTCGTTATCATTCACCTCCTTTCTCGCTCCCGCTACGATAGAATCGATTTTCGACCGTTCCTGAAAAAGCATCACTGCATCGAATTTAAAAGACTTACGAGTCGTATTGATCTGCCATATGTAGCCGCAAATCAGCCGAGTCAGTTTGAAGTCTTGCGTCCACAGACTCAAAGCTCTTTTCCTTTGCAATTTTAATAAGGCGCATTCCTGTTCTTAACTCACACGATGCGAATAAACTAGGCATTTTGGGATTAATGCTTCACCGGTAATATCCTTGATTAGACATTGATCGACATTGACGACATCCTGTCGTCATCAATCGCACATTGAAATGTTAAAATACTATCTACATCACAAAAACTGCTTATGTATCTTTAATTCTTTTTTTTCTACGCGTATAATATATTTAAAAATTTATTTAATTTTCTTTCGACTTCAAAGCTCTCTTTTAACTCTAAAAATAATCATTAAATAACATTAAATAAACTCTTCTTGGTGAACGAAATGTACATATCTATAATATTATTTTCTAAAATCCTATATTAATTCTTTTTGTATATCAACTTCATGAAATGTTTGTACAAAAAGATATTTTACATTGTGAAATCAGCGAAATTTATGGTTTAATAAGTTATTTAAAAACTTCCAAAATTAGCAGGAGAATAAATTTAAAAAAAAAAAAAAGACTTCTACTATTTTTTTGCGACAGAATTTTCATCCTAACCAAATGATCTACATATGCTCGCCAAATGATTTGTCTCTGGAGCGTTTGCACACAAAACATGATAAAAATAAATATCTTCGCTCTTGCTAGATGGCAAAGCTTTGAAACATTTCTGCGCTAGGAAACTACGGATGCGAAAAAGTTTCGGCGGAAAGTTTTGCTGGTTGATTCGCGTGTTGCTTCGTTTACCTGAAGCGAAACCAGGAAAATGTTAAAATTTTATGACGAAGCTAAACCAAGGAACTGTGTTTGTCGAATCGTGCGTGTATCTACCTGTTACCCTTGTCGTGTAAAACCGGCCATTGTAGTAAATATCTTTTTGTAGATTCCGTGACGAATAAAGTCTATTGCGTAAAACTTTCATCTCAAACAATGCCGACGTAGTTTTTGGATATAAAGGTCCTAATACACATCGTTGCCATAAATCTATCAAGTTGAAAATGATGCCTTTTATGATGGTAGGAAATTTGTGAGCCGGAAAATATCGCTTATTCAATGTAAAATAAAACACCTCTGTCGTGACGAATAAATTATTTTAACTACGACGTTCGAATTTGACAATTTGCATATTGAGCGATCGAATAAGAGTAATCATTAATATTTTAATAAAACTGAACAACGATCAACATATATTAAAAGAAATAAGATCTCTTGTTATTTCTATCAATTTCATTGACTATTCTCACCTGTTATTCTCCCTCGAATTAAATCTATGAAATATATAACAATGACCTAGAATATTGACTATTTTTCTGCTATTTACATTGATAATTGCGATGAAGTTAATTTTATTATATTTCTAATTCAAATAAAAATTTATAATAAAATTCTGCAAATAGAAATTGATTTTTTCTTACAATCGCACATTTGTTAATTCGAATGGGCATTATGATCCTACGTATTCACAAAAATACCTTATGCGTGAAAGCTGTTTGTAATGGAAATAAGTTAATACATGGCAACGAGGGAGTTAAGTGTAATTAAGGTTAACGTGTATTTATCTTTTCCACAGTGGATGAAAGCTAAACAGACAGTTCTACGTTTAAGATACGATCAATTTTATAGTGCTTTCTGTAATTGAACGATGGCATTAATTGTATGAAAGTCAATGGACATGTCCAGTGCGATTATGGTTCTCAATAAAATTTCCCGCGCCATTTAATGGCTGTAGCGTATCTTGTGCGTTCGTTGATTTTTTGTTGCAATCTTGTAATTAAGCAAATGCGGTAGCTAAAAATTGAAAATTAAATTATGTTATAGATCAGATTATCTTACAAATTTTACTTTTAACATTTTAAATTCTTGTGAAAAATAAAGTCTAACATCACATCGAAATGATCATAAATGTAGCTTAATTTTGCATGAAAATAAATAAAATATAAAAATAATTTTTATACATTATAACAATATATGATATATGACGACAAAGTCTTATAATTTTCATATGTAATAACAAAAATAAAATGTGGCACGTGGGTTGAGAAGCGAAATAATTTTTTTGCGGGACACGAATGCCGTTAGATACGCGCGATTACCGTTGCAATCATACACTTTTGTACGCGCTGGCAGAAGCTGGTTTTCAGGATTTTTACGCGGACGAGCACGAAAGAAACGATGACGAATGGAAGAGCTATCTTCGGCAGATATTAAAGACGTATCCGCGTGTGAAACGGTTCGACGCTTAGATTTCCGCGTTATGCCCATAGATCAAGCGTGGAGTCAGCTTTCTAATCGGCTCCCATTATTTCCGGTGATCATGATTTACACGCAATGCTGCATCGACGGGCAAATATACCGAATGCAGTATATCTCGAGATAAATGAGACTTCGCTCAAGAACTGCGTGCTTTTCGTTTTGCAATCTCGGCCGTGACGATATCTCGCGACTAACATTTGAATTCGCTCATACGTAAACGGTAATATGATCGATGATGACCACTCAAGAATTTATACGGCAGAAACAGACATTTTGCAGGTTTGATTGCGCCGTCATAGAGTTGGGTCACCTGGTACATGTGTACTTAAACCGCGCGTTGCCGGTTACCATGTTTATTGATAGAATCTCTGAGAGTTATTGACAGATCGATGTGTCCTAAATCGTATTTGTACAATATGCAGATTTTGTAACGAATGCTGAATCAACTGTATTCGAGAAAAATATTTTCATTTCGAAAGAATAAAAATTCTGACATCGTACGATATTCTTTATGATAAAGATTGCAAATATGCGGCATT